TATATATATATATATATATATATATATATATATATATATATATATATATATACCTGTATATATACTTAAAGTCATGTATCATGCATAGGAACGTTGACGCCTGCAAGGCTCTGGTTTAAAATTATAAATCAAATGTTTAGGCCAGTGGTTCCCAACTTGTTTGCGTTCGCAGACCCCTCCGGACATGTGAAAAGTCTTCAAGGACTCCCATGTCGAAATACTACTCAATGGACTCTAGTCCATACCCCAACAATTTGATTACAGATGGAAGATGATTCGCCACGAAAGTGCAGTGGCGAATAAACCACCTCAGTCCTACCATAGTTGGGGGCTGAGGTACAAAATTGATTTAGATCGCAAGAAATGGCACTGTCAGACTCAAAATTTGAAGGTACTTTAATCTCCCATTTAATTTTTAATTTGTAAAATTTAGGGCGTCTCATGGTTGATATTTCACCAATATGATTATGGATAGAAGATAATTCGCAAAATTACGTCATCTTTGATCTTGTAATTCGACATAGCAAGAGGGGGAGGGGTGCAGACAGTACATTTTACAAATAGGGGATTTACGCTACCTCAGTTCCACCATGGGTGAGGCTGAGGTACGAAATTTGTATGTTTATGTTTGTTTGTTTCTTTAACAAACAAACAAACAATAATAATACGGTTACAACAATTTGTATATTTTTGTAGACTTCCTTTAACACATTATACATGTAAGGGCGGACCGACAATTATTAGTTTTGTGTTTAGTCAATGCGTTTTGAATTTTAATTCACTTTAATAATGATTAAATTAATTCATCTTAAAATGTTTACCTAACGAGTTGTCTAAACGTTCTTTTACTACACTGATATAGGCCTATTTCTCTATCTAATTAAAAAAATGAAAACAAGTGATTTTTGTATAAAGTAAATTCATCAATAATATACATCAATTTACCTTATTTCAATCGTGTAATCTCAATTATTTACATTTATTACTTAGGTTCACTGGTGGACTGGGACCTAAATAGTTACCTGTCTAACGAGGGGGGGGGGAGGGGGTAGAAAAATACTTTTATACCTTCCTAGTCTAACCAATCTATATGTGCCGGGGGCCACGGGAAGCGAAGTGGTATTAGAGGCAATTCAATACCATTCCATGATCGACAACGCATATTTATATGGATGTATTTGTTCAGTGATAATTGAACAAATCAAATATTGTGATTTGTTCAGTGATAATTATCTCAATTATCATTTTTACGTTTGAAACAGGCGCCATACCCCGAAGGCAGATGATCCACGACCGATTGAATGATAGGCTAATGTTTCAATAATGATCGATTTACCAGATTGGTAAAGTAAAACTACAGGACTAAAGCGATAAAATTCAGCAAGTGGAAACAAGATAATGTTGATTATTACTATCGAATTTCCAAAAAATAAATCATTGCTTTTTGATGAGTATGTTTTGATGCCTGGGACAATAATATATCGCAACCAATTAATGACGTTAGAAATCATCAAATAAATCTAACAGCGTCGCAAGGCAACAGCGCCCGCGTCTACATTCTTAGTTCGTCGAGTATTCAAGATGAGAATTGTCTGCATGTAAACTTCTATCGCATCTACAATTGTTAATACAATTAAGCCAATTACATTCGCAATATTATAAACTATGTGTGATGAATCTCCATCGTTTGTAATAGTTTGAATTTTTTCATAAATTATCAAATGGCCGGTAGCTGATGCCATTGCAACAAGTTAGCATAGTTATCCCAACTATAGCAAACATAAGCAAATTTTACTTCTGTTAAGTGATTTAAAAATCTGTGTCCTGCAGCTATCATCATCGCAGTGTTGTGTGCCTGTAAAATTAAGATCTGTATGGTACTATAAACGTCACCATCGACAAAATCGGGCTGTTTTATACTAGTTAAAAATGCAGAGAGGCATATAAATAGTACAAGGTAACCCATAAGAACAATTCACTTTTAGTGCGTTGCATTCAGTGCGGTTGAGTTTCTCGTTTGTGTTGACGATGTTTTCCTCAGTATGTGAGTTTAATATGTTGCCTGTAGTGTTTCCCACACTGTTGTCTTCAGTGTTTTCTTTATAAATGCTGCTTCTACTGTCACCTTTAGTGTTCCTTATAAGGCTTGCTCTAGTGCTGGTCGGACTGGCTTAAGTTGACGATGGCTGTGGTAACATTTCCTATAGAGTTGCTTCTAACTACACAACTCAACTCTCTTCAAGCGTATCTTCGATCACTTTTGAATAGAGGCGAACTTAATAATGATGAATATAAAGATTT